GACGTTGCAAGCTTGAAGACCGTGTACTGCAAAGTAGCTGTAACCTTTTTGTCTTCACATCACTTGACCTTTCCTAGAAGTAGAACGTTCATAGAAATCCTTTTTTCTTGAGTTCTTGTGTCTAGCATGAAAGAGGAAAGAGTCATTTGGCATAACCAATGAATATAACTTCAAATAATCTTCTTCAACAAGTTTCTAATTCTCAGCAATCAACATCAGAGCCTTGAGTGATCAGAGTCTTTATGTCTTCAGAGTTTTCTGCATCAGAGTATTGCAGCAAGTGCGCTTCAGCGTGTAATTAATCAGAGCAGAGTTTGGAGATCAGATCCTCAGTACTTGCAGCATACAGTACTATCAAAGTCTTCTGATAAACAGTGCTTGAAACTCTTCATACAAAGTCTTCAGTTTACGCTTCAGATGCTTCTGTAGCTTCTGCTTCAGATCCTTCTGTAGGTAGCGCTCAGAGTCTTCTGTATGCAGTGCTCAGAGTCTTCTAAGAGATGCTTCTGACGCTTCAGAGCCTTGCGTAGTTTAATGTTCAGATCCAGTTTTGCTTTCAGAAGAATATTAAATTTAATATCTGCAGCAAAAATACTTGAACAAATTTAGAGGATATAATTTCTCAATACAAAATTTCATAAGTGTTATCATTAAAACATAGAGATATAACTAAGAACCAATCTGTGTTCTAACAATGGCTGTATCTTTTTGTACCCACTCTTGAAATCCTTGAGGTTCAGGAATAGAACTCCCTTCTTCTGGTTGTTGCGTAGCACATATCAATATCCTTCATATGCAAAATTTCTTTCAGGTTCAGGATCTTCTCTGTATTTTAGGGATAACAACCTACGCATGCAGAAGCTTTACACATCTTGTGACACCAGATTACAAAAAATGGTATAAAGATCAAATATTACTTTTAAACAAAAATAAACAATAAAATGGTTCAAAATACTTCTTGGCACTCCCCGGCAACAGCGCCAAAAACTTGTTACGCAATTTAATGAAATATGGTGTCACATGCAAGTATACATATACATTTTATTGCAGCAAGTGATAATAGTAAGGATATCATACCCATAGGGAGTGAAGAGGTTTAGATTGAACACTTGTAAGTAATCTTTGTTTAAAACGAGTATGAGCAAGGTAACAAATAATAATTGGTAATATATTAGAAGTGTCCACAACACTGAACTAAATGAAATAAATTTAGGGTTGGTAAAATCAAAAGAGTGAATGATGAGCTATGATCCATTAATATGTAGTAGCCAGAATGTGTATATGATGAGATATGTCGTGCCTTAAAAGATCAGAAAGTGATCTAGGTGTGTATCTCTACAATAACAATTCATACATTAATAGGGCAAGGGAAAAATCTCTAAATCTCACTTATAACCCTAAAATACGTCTGATTTATATTATGAAAGTTCTTTATGGCCTTAGCTTCTTATCTCTAAGCAAGCTAATTAAGTGAATATCTCTATCCTACTTGTTTAACCACTTTTGTTATGAAATCCACTTGTTGTTGGATCACTCACAACAACAAGCTTTTACCTTTTTCTAAGTTGATCATTCAAAAAGTCGGGTTTATAGCATGAAAACACATGACAAAATAGGACACATAACATCACATCATTTTAACGTAAAGGCAACATTATATTAATTTCACATTGCTCATCAAACATGTGTTTAGCTTATGATGAGCTGAGTACAAAATACTGAATTGAAACTATTAGGAAATATGCTTAAACAAAAGTTGTAAAAGGCATGACAACCTAAAAGAAACTTAGAGAGCTCTTCTGTTGAATAAACAACAAGTGACGTCTCCAGTCGCGCCAGCTCTCAGCAGTGAATACATGATTAGATAAGAAAAAGAACTCTCTCTATTTTCTCATTAACCCTCAATTAAAATAAACAAATAAAGAACTGTAATGCTTGTGTGCATGGAACTCCTTTTCCAAATCCTAAGGTCAACTATTATAGACTTGAGTGTGGATGTGAGAGGAAGTAGGCCTTGGATCATAGGCATTTGATTCCAACAAGGTTTAGCCCAAATCAAATCAGCATATTCTCTTTCTATCCTTAATTCTTAGTGAACAAGCTTCCTGGTACAGACATTTGTGGGAGACAAGGTGTCCGTTGCAGGCTGTTGCAGTAGGTAGTGATGCAAAGGTGCAGGCAACGCAATGCTAGTGCGTAGGGCGTGCTTTTGCAGAGGCGGTCCCCACCGTACTATGCTTTTTGTCCCTTTGTGAATTTGATCTTATCCTTTTGATTTTCCAATTCTTCCAAGCACAATTCTGCCACGCATGCCGTAGAAATAATCTCCCCTCAAACTCTTGGTCATTTTCTGCTTGTGATCCTCAACATCTATTTAATTCTCCATCCCACTCTCACTTCCAAACATTACCTAGACCAAACATGCCTCAGATTATCTCAAAACTATCTTGCAACATAAAAACACACATGAAAAATACAAAAGGATCACCTATTGTGCTCGAAGAAAAACAAGCTAAACACATTAAGATTAAATAAATAAACTCTTACTTTAAAGGCAAAATCACAATTAAGAAGAAATAATAATAATACACTAAAAGTGAATTATCAGTTATGCCCCAACTTATATGTTGAGTTTCGTTTGGTTTTATCTTTGAAGTTAACCCTCCATTACAAAAAAACTGAGGTGTCAAATGTCTAGTGATGTGGCACATGTGACATTGCATGAGTGGACGAAATCCAAAAAATATTTTATTTTAAAAAACATCTTCTTCCTCCATTCGTCTCAAACCTCCATTTTTTTCTCACCTTCAAACTCTATGTCAATTCCTGATCAAACACATTTCAAAAAATAAATTTTCAGTTTGAAAAAATTATGGGTTTGTATAAAGGTTGGGGGTGAAGATTTGAACACAAACCTAGAATTTTAGATTAATTTGTATTTTCGTTCCTATAAGTTGGTGCACTTTTGGTTTTAATCTGTGTAGTATAAATGTTTTTTTGGTTTTAGTCCCTAATATGGGTTTGTGTTCCTATCTTCATCTCCAACTTTTGTACAAACCCATAATTTTTCAAATCAATGAAAACATTTGTTTGTTTATGAGCATGTTGCATATTTATTGGTCATTCTTTCATTACACATTATCTTATTTTGTTCCCAAATAATCAAAATAACAAGGTTAATATTCATTTCCGTTAATTCATTCTCTCTTTTCAAACTTCTCAACCTCTCATTTCTCTCTTCATCACTCATCTTAAACCCAGAACATTGAATGTCTTTAAACCCACTGACTCAATAATATTCAAATTCAATCTCCCTTTTACCTTCAACTAAGCAAACCAAGAACATTAAGAACACCTCACCCAAATTCATCGTCAATCTCTCTTCAACGATTCCAAAAATATTTTTCAAATGATTATCATCACCATTTTCGCCACCACACAAAACCCATAAACGTTCATCGAAACCCCAAAAATCAAAACCCTAATTTCAAGATTATACACATTATCCAAACTTTGAAGAAAAAAAAACATGTTCTCATTTATTTGAAAAAACCTGGGTTTGTATGAAGGTTGAAGATGAAGATATGAACACAAACCTAGAATTAATGACTAAAACTAAAAAAAGATTTACATTACAAAAACTGAAATTAAGAACACACAAACTTACAAGGACGAAAATACTATTTTATCCTGAAATCTGGGTTTCCCTCATATCTTCATCCCCAACCTTCATACAAACACATAAATTTTTCAAATGGAAAATTTTTCTTTGAACAATATCATGGCCTTCGAAACAAACATTTTTATTGAAGTTTGAGATAAATATTTTCAGTGATCACAAAGTAGGATTTGAAACAGAATAAACTGACAACAAACTGAAATTTGAAACAGACTAAAGTTATCAATTGAGGAAGTAGTCATGGATGAATGTGCATAGGAAGAAGAAGGTGAGTGTGTTGAAGAGAGGAAGAAGGCAACTGTATTGAAGAGAGAGAAATGATGTTGCAAAATCAAATAAATTTTGAATTTCATCCTCCTTTTTAAAACCCCTATATTATATTTCCATGTGTAAATAATCTGTCAGAATAAAAAATTAAAAATTAAAATTTAGGCATCAACGTTTGCCACATAAGCTATTTTTAAATAGAAGTTTGATGTCAAGGCCTAACATCAAAAAAAAAAAAAAAAAGTAATATGTAAAGACTCCATAAAAAGCCATTTAGAACAAAAATCAAAATCTTGTCAACTTACATAAACGAAAAGACTATTAAAACTATAATAAAATAATTGATTTTATAATTGTGTTAAATCAATGAAGAAAATATTTCAGTTTTATATCATGAAGTTAGTAGTAGCACAACACCAGTTACCACCTGATGCTAGGATAGCTAGCAACAAAAATATTCAAACATTACAATCATAATGCAATTGTAGGACACCCCAAAAGACAAGCAACCTCAATAGATACATCATTATGTCTGTACCTAACTCAAGCTTTTTGTCACCATAAAAGACACTGCACTGCCTCTTTGAGTTATACTTCTAAACGGTTTAAAACTATCATTTCCCCTACTTGTTTGGTCAAAAAAATGTTAATGCTTTTGTGGTATTACAAAACATGAGATAATAAAATGGTCCCAAAAGTTGTGGGGTCCAACTTGTGATGGATCTTAAAGCTCAAGTTCAAGTGGTGTAATCATTTCCTATATGAAATCTAACCAAAAGTTCAGTTGGCTCAATTTTAGCCATTGAAAGCTAGAAATTCATCACATGGAAATAGGAGTTAGAAGGGGACATAGACAAGATGTGCTATCATAAAACGCCAATGTTTGATAACAATTTTTCCTTCTACTTCATTTTTGTCTTTCTAGCTAGCTAGCCCATGAATTCTATAGTTTGTGGTGAGGAAAACACTATATATAAGAGACTAAACCAAGCTTGCATTAACCCATTTTTCACTCACACTTTTCATATTTTCTTCAAGGATTCACTCAAACACTATGGAAGCAACACCTCCACTTTCAATTGAAAGTTTTTCATATAGCTGGTTAGTAAACCTTAAACCATCACTTGATCAAACCCTTGAAACTTCTGTTGATGCTTCTGATGAATTAGGTTCTTCTTTCATTGAAATGGATCCAAGAATGCCATCTTCTAGAAGATTCTTTATAACCTCACAAGATTTCAAATTTGACTTTCCAATTTCACAAAAATCTCCTCTCAATACTCTTATTGATGCTGACCAACTCTTTTCCAATGGTTACTTAATGCCACTTTTTGATGAATCATTGAAGAACATTGAACCATATGATAATGATTCATCAAATTCAAATTCAACCATACCTTCTTCTTTCATATCACATGTACCAAAAAAAGTGGTCCCTGTAGAAAACTCAAGAAGCCCTTCATTGAAAAGGTGTAGAACACTATCAAGGAGAATGTTTCAAAAGTATTTGAATTTCTTAAAACCATTGTGTAGAAAATTGAGGGGTCAAAAATCAGGATCAAAGCATGAAAATGGTATGAAAAGAACTCAATCAGTTAAAAATTATAGAGGAAATTACTGTGAATCATCTCCAAGAATTAGTGTTGCTTATTCGACAGACTATCCGCGCATGTCTTGTGATTCGGATAGTTCAATCTATGAAGCTGTTCTTCATTGCAAAAGATCTATTGGTACGCTCAAAACATTTTCAAATTTCATGTATATTTTAATATAACTATTTAAATTTTTTTGAGACTAATAGTTTTTCTCTCACGTTATTTATTGCAGAAAAAATGAGTTAAGATGTTTCTGCTACCTCAACATGAACACGATTGACGCTGCATCAGCTGCATTTAATAGCGCTGAAAAATAAATAAGGCAATTGCTCGTACACTATAACAAGAGATCTTCTATGATTAACATATAATTTAGTAAGGATATTTATGCAAGAGCTTCCATCTAATTTTGAATTAGCTTCAATAGGTTACCGTAATGATGAAATCTCTAGAATTCATTGACCACTAAATGAAGAATGTGGAAGGAGAGAGAAAAACACATGATTTTCTTGAGGTACCACCAGAAATTAATAGTTTTTGTTGGTGTTATGGTAAATATATTATGTATTTATTAGTAGTCAATTTATTTTTAATACTATTACAGTATTATCTTGGGATTGTATTTAATGGCCTCTCGAGTATATAGTTTCTTTATAAATATAATGAGAAAAATATTCAAACTTAAGTCACACTCTACTTCAACCCTATTTTTTTCATTTTCAGTTTTGTTTTTTATTTTTATTTCAACTATTCAGAAAACTGACCCAATTTTATTTTCTTTGTCTCCAGAATTTAAGATAGATCGAGGGACACATAATAGATTTTATAATAAATTTTGTCCTCAACCAATAATCACCCGAGATATAATTCATATGTGCGCCACAAAGAAAATTATCCGTAACACGTTTTAAATCCCAACAAAGAAAATTGTGTTTTTTTTAACAAATAGATTATATAGACAAACTAGACTATTCCCTCGCCAATGAAGCTTATTTTCTACAGAATCACTTAAATAATTTGCCTCTTAATGAGATGTTTCAAATTTAAGAGATAACTAAGCAATATCTAAGGTACAAAAGTATAACATGTTGTAATTTATGACCAATAAATGTTTACGGGTATGTTTTAAAATGATAAAAAAAAAATAGAAATGAGTTAAATGACAATAAATGTTTGAGAAATAGTCTCACATAAAAAGTGTCACCCATATTAAAAAGATTTATAAATAATTATGTACGCTAACTCAACAAAAGGACAAAAGATGATAAAGTGTCATCTGGACGAGTGTTGTGGTCCCAAGCATTACGTCACTTGTCACCTTCAGACACCTCTTGCTGGTGTTGTCATCGGAGACACCGACTCTAGGATCGTGGGCATAGAGGCGCTAATGGAGATTTGTAGGCGGCATTTGAGCACTTCAGTTTCAAGCATCAAAGTGATGAACCAGAACCTTATCAAGTTGGATCGTTTCAGTGGAAAGGATACAGGAAGAAATTGATGCATTGTTCTGAGGATTTCTCGTTGGAGAAACTTCAGAAACACCTTTGAATCAAGGAGGAGACGAAGGATAGAGAAAATTATGAGCGCGTTGGATACTCTAAAGCCTATGTTGTGATTGCAAACGGAAAGAAGAAACATGATGGCATGAACAACCATTTTGGTTTTAAGAAGGAACATGACAAGTTCAAGAACTCTAGCGGACCAAAAGGAGCAAAAAGTGGCTGCTATGTGTGAGGCAAACTAGACCACTTTTCTCGAGATTGTAGGCATAACAAGTCCAAAAACAAAGTTGATGTTGTTCATGGAAATGACGACATAATGCTATGGTAAGCGAGATTATTGCAATCAAAGGAAAAGTGCAAGGATGATGGCATGATACATGTGTTACTTTGCATGTTTCATGTGACAAAGCAGCATTTAAAACCTATTTTGATGTAAATGATGGACAAGAAGTGCAGATGGAAAAAGAAATACGATTTAGAGTCGTTGGAATGGGATCCGTCGAACTAAATTTCAATTTCGAAAACAAGTCACTCTTGTCAATGTACTTCATGTCCTCGACATGAATAAGAATCTTGTTAGTGGAGATTTGTTAGGAAAATCGGGTATTAAGTTTGTATATGAATCAGACAAACTAATATTAACCTGTAACGGTGTATTTGTAGGAAAAGGATATTCCACTGACTGAATGGTCAAACTTTGTACTATCGATAATATTATTAATGGAAATTTTTAGTTCTGCTTATATGCTTGAATCTATTTTTTATGGCGTTCTAGATTAACACATATTGGTATTAGTACTATGAATAGACTAATTAAACCCGAATTGATCTCATGCAATATTTATGATTTCAAAAAATGTGAAATATGTGTTAAATAAAAAATGATCAAGAAACTTTTCAAAAGTGTTGAAAGAAAATAAAATTTGCTTGATCTTGTGCACTCTGATTTGTGTGAATTTAATGCATGTTAACTCGTGGGGGAAACTAGTATTTCATAACCTTTATCGATGATTGCTATAGATTCACATATGTCATTTTAAAGCATAAAGATGATTCCTTTAATTCCCTTGAAAATTTTAAACTGGAAGTAGAAAATAAATTAAGTAGAAGTATCAAAGTTCTTAGGAGTGATAGGCGCGGGGAATACTTTTCTAAAAAATTTGATGCATATTGTAAAGAATATTTCATTATACATTATTGTTACGCACCTCGTACACTGTAACACATTTTTCTACCCCACAATTATTATGGCAAAATAACACAGATATCAGAGTAAAATAATAAATTCAATAAAAGCCACCTCAAAAGGGTGTACATTTCCCAAATCCTCAAAATAAGTCAAGGCTTCGTAAACAACGGATTTTCCCAAAAGGCATAATCCAAAGTTTTCCTTAGACAGGAAGATAATCAAAATAACATCAATAAAACATGGTTCAACTCAAAGACCCCAACCCAATGTTACACTATCAGAGCAAGACCTTCTAAGTTAACCAAAAGGCCAATGACGCAAAACTTCAAAAGTCCTCAATGGCATCCACAGCTAAACTTGGTCATCTACACGTTACTCACGTGGAGGCAACATTCAAACAAGCAGGGTGAGTAAAACAATTTATAATAATCAATGTAGAAAATTAACATATAAAATGGCGTTATTATCATATTCAACACCATCATATTCATCAATGGACATCAAAGCCATAACATCATAATTTACTCAAAATCATCTCATAAATGCAAATGCAACAAGACTCAATGTATGTGGTACAAATCATCACAGTTCGATAGACACTGGGCCATCAACCCTCCATAGATCCACATCAATAGGATCGATTCTACTTGAGAACCGGAGCACATCAAAATACCTCACATCCGCACAATGGGATTGAAGCCAAAGTAATCAAAGTCCTGAACCAAAGTTCGGATGCACATGAATGCATGATGCACACGTCAATAATCATCCTCATAATAACAACATAGGTGCATCATCATTTATCATAATCATCATCATCATCACAATCATCATCATATCTCATGTCATCATAGAATTCATCAAAAATCATGGTAATATCATCATGTTACATCATAACAATCATCATGTAATCATGTATACATCACATAGAATTCACAGTCATACTCATGTTAATTCTTCACGCTCCCAAGTCCAACTTTCTCCAGCTGGTCCTCCCCACAATACCTTTACCAAGGAAATCTCTTTACCTCGCAGCTGCTTTAGTTCTCGTTCATCAATCCGAACAGGAAATGCCTCAACATTCAAGTCATCTCTCACTTGTACATCCTCCATCTGAATCACATGCGACGGATCTGGAATGTACTTCCTCAACTGAGACACGTGAAACACATCATGTAAATTCGCAAGCAACGGTGGTAAAGCAATCTGATATGCTACTTCCCTCACCCTCTGCAAAATCTGATACGGACCAACAAAATGTGATGTGAGCTTTCGAGACTTAAAAGCTCAGACAACACCAGTTACCGACATAATTCTCAAAAACACGTGATTTCCCTCTTTGAATTCAAGTGCTTTTATCCTCTTATCATGGTAACTTTTTTGACGACTCTGCGACGCTTTCATCTTTTCTTGGATCATCTTGATCTTTTAAGTCGTCTCTTGCACAATCTCAGGTCTGAGTACAACACTCTCACCTGACTCATACCAACACAAAGGAGTACTACACCTCCTACCATACAAAGCTTCATACGGTGCCATTTCGATACTAGAATGATAACTGTTATTGTAGGTAAACTCAATCAACGACAAATGACTATCCCATGATCCACCTTGATCCAACACACAAGCTCTCAGCAAATCCTCTAAAGACTGGATAGTTCTCTTTGTCTGTCCATCCGTCTACGGATGATAGGCAGAACTCAACCTCAACTTAGTACCCAAAGATGTCTGCAAACTTTCCCAAAACCTCGATGTAAATCTCAGATCTCTATCAGACACAATACTCGAAGGAATACCATGCAGTTTCAGAATCTGCTCGATATATACTTCAACAAGCTTCTGCAATGAATAATTGATCCTCATCGGTATAAAATGAGCCGATTTGGTCAATCTATCCACAATCACCCAAATCGAATCATATCCCTTCAAAGTCTTTGGTAAAACTGTCACAAAATCCATAGAAATGCTATCCCATTTCCATTCTGGAATACCCAACGGCTGCATTAGACCCGACGGTCTCTAATGTTCAATCTTCGACCACTGACAAGTCAAACAAGCATATACAAACTCTGCAATTCCCTTCTTCATACCTGGCCACCAAAACAACTTCTTCAAATCTTGATACATCTTTGTGGCACCAGGATGAATACTCAACCCGCTTTTGTGACCTTCCTCAAGAATGCTCTTCTTGATTTCTGGCACATCAGGAACACACACTCTATCTCTGAATCTCATCACACCATTCTCACCGATCCGAAAATTACCCCTGTTACCTTGGTTGATTAACGTGAGCGATCCACCAAACTCAAATCAGATTTCTGACCGTCTCTAATTTGTTGGAGAATACCACTAGTTAACTTCAGCATACCCAACTTCACATTGTTAGGAGTCTCTTCACAAATCAAACTCATATCTCTAAATTGCTCAATCAGTCCTAACTCTCGAACCATAAGCATCGACATATGTAAGGACTTCCTGCTTAACGCATTAGCCACAACATTAGCCTTACCAGGATGGTAACTCAATTCAAAATCATAATCCTTCAGAAGTTCAAG